CTGGGTGCTGGCAGGCTTGCAACTGGCACAAGCACTGTAGCCAGACCGTGCCCCTTTAAGGGCTCCGGGGCCGGGAGGGGGGCAGAAAAGTTTCCCTGGTGGTGCCCAGAGTGGCCACCAGGGCAAGTTGGGAAGGGCTAGCCTCCCATTAGTTCGAATTAAGTGGCTACACAGCCCTTAATTTGAACTACTTAATTTGAACTAGACGTTAGTCCTCGTAGAATGAGGTTTACCTAGTTCGAATTAAGTGCTCCGCTAGTTCGAATTAAGTTCGAACTAGCGGTTTGCATTTATAGATGCTATGAAAGTTAATTCGAACTAATGGCTTTTAGTTCAAATTAACTTTGTAGTGTAGACATACCCTGACTAAGTTATTTCAGAATAGCACTGCTAGTTCGAATTAAGTTCGAACTAGCGGTTTGCATTTATAGATGCTATGAAAGTTAATTCGAACTAATGGCTTTTAGTTCAAATTAACTTTGTAGTGTAGACATACCCTGACTAAGTTATTTCAGAATAGCACTAGTTATTTCAAAATAGTGTTGCAGTATAGACGTACCCTGAGTGTTTGTGGGCAGGCTGGAGGCACATAACTGATCCTGCAACCTATGTTATAGTTTGAAATACATAGGTGTCTGTATTATAGATTTATATCCCATCTGCTACTTAATGAGCTAAATGCTTTTTACATTATGGTATGAGGAATTTCACTGATTTCTTCCATATACCAGCTATGCCTTATATAATGTACAACATGCTTCATATGCACAACTTAATATGGCATGGGTCCAACTGTGTTTATTCAGTTCATGTGTTTGGTTTTATTCTATTGTTTTCAGCAGTCTGTGCCAAAGACAGGCTTGTCTTTGAGAGCACAGAACTTCATATCAACTTTTATTGTGAACAATTGAGAACATGGACTGAAGGAGACTGTGACATTACATTTATTGCAATGGTTAATATGCCAATGTTACTGCAACTCATGTTGTATTGGGTCATCCTTAAATCTTTTTTGGATCTCTCCATTAGGTGTCTTCACAATTCTTCCTGCACAGCAGTTACTGTCTGTGACCACATTTGTTCTGCAACTCATTGAATACACGGTTCAGACTTTCAATTTTCCCCCATTTTAGGCTTAGACAGTGAGATGTACCTCTGTAAATTAAGATCACCATACTTTCTTTCTCTGTACTACTCAGATATTGGGTGATACTGCATCATGCCATCATCACTACACTGTGTAACTTGACTCTTTTTCACTAATGTGCAGTGTTGTGTATTTCCTTTACTATTGCAAATAATGGATGGTTCATTCTGATTTCATGGGCAATTCTATTTTCATGCTCACTTTCATAAGTACACCTAAATCACATACTATATTAAACTTTAAAATAGATTCTAAATTCCAGTTCTGTAAAATTCTAAATTGGATTTCCCCGCATATTAATGTTATGGTGTTCTGTGACTGAGGTTGTGTGTCTTGTCTTTTTATGGACTCTTGTATATTCCACCTTTGAAACACATCTCTCCCTAATACACCCTAATTTTGGTTTCAGTCAAAGACTTTATTATTTCAGTCTTTTTCTCTTAGTATAACTCTTTTACTAAGCATCTCTGTCTAGATACTCTTTAAAGTGGGTAGCTGCTTCTTTTATGTATAGTAAGAGCCATGCAAGCAATAGAATGTAGGCAGAGCCCAATAATTTTTTAAGATGCAATTGTCAAAGTTCCATTCCCTAGATGCCTCCATTATGGCATTCACTATTGAATCCTGTGAGACATCTCTTAATGATTTTCCATTAATTGGTCACCAGAGAATGTTCATTTAGTTGCGCTGTTGACTTTCTTTCTCTACTCAGAGACTAAATGCATGCCTTCTACATGCCTTTTGTTAAATTACATCTTTGCAATACAGTAGCTATGCCATGTGCTGACATAATGCAGTTGAGATAATTGTAGAGTTTTACAATTGTCTGTTTTTCAAAGAAGTGAAGAACACAAAGAGAGCAGTACATGTACTAGTAGTAGTAGTTGTTGTTGGTGGTGGTGGTATTTTTTGTGGGGGTGTGAGGGCCCAGGGTTATTGGTGATAAATAGATTAATATACTACTTCATTTATTTAGGTCTATTGATTCACCAGTACATCGTGAGTCTGATTCTTCTAGTATGAATCTTATTTAGAAATTTGAAATACTCCACAAAATTTACAACATTATCAGGAAATCATATGAAGCATGACTGATGGATTGTGGGATAAATTAATCCTTGGTCTAACTCCATTTAAATCAATAGAATTAAGTTGACTCTCTGTGTATGCGGGTGCGTGTGCGCGCAGCGTGTGTTTGTACGTGTGCGTGCACGTGCATTTTTTACTCTGAAATGCTGTCCTCCATTGTCACTTTTCCAGCTCAGTGACCAGGGAAGCAAGAACAAGCCCCTTATATCTGAATTATTTTGTTTCCCAAATTGTTTAGTGAACAGTGAGGATGGAAGGATGTGGTTTTTGTGTGATGCACATTGCACAGTCAGTCACAACTCTCCATTACAATACATCTGAGGTAATCTTTCAAAAGACAATTAAATGTTATTTATTTAGGCAGCACCACAAATGCTTAATGGGGCTAATGAGAGAAACACTTAATTGTACTTTTTAAAATATTAATGTAAAGACATTTTCTAGGAACTTCTTCACTATCTCACTTAACGGCCTTTCTCTCTTCTTTTCCTCATCACACCAACTTCTTCAGTTCACACCAAATTTTCACTGGGCCTCTCCTGCTGACTGGTAAAAGCTTTTTGAGGACGTTCTTCTGCCTCAAGAAATATTAGATGTTCAGACCCATTTCTCCCAGCAGCTGAAACCATCCCGTGTCTCCTTAATAAGGGGTTCATATATTATGGTAATAGGCATCTCAGGAAAATTAACTGTCAAATGATCCCATGCATTGATGTGCTCTGTGGATTTGTAACAGGGTGGAGGAACCTCATCCACTGCAGGATAAGTTCACCCAGTCCTTTGAGCTGCCCTCTGTCTCTAAGCAGAGAAACCTGAGGACAAAAGTTAATAGAGTTGCCCTGATCCACAGGACAGTTGGACGTGAGGCTTAGGTCCGCAAAACCATTATTCTGGTTCACAGAGCAGTGAGGCCTAGCAGACAGTGTCAACAAAGGTATCCTAGGTTCACAGGACAGTGAAGCATAGCAGCCCAAGTCAGTAGATACCCTGGATTTACAGGGTAGTAATACCTTAGCTGCCAGACACAATAGAGTTACCCTCTGGTTGGGGCAGTTAGGCCTACTGGCCAGTTAGGAGGTGTGGGCTGCCACTTTGGGTATGGGTGAGAGCTAGGGTAGAAAGACCTGGGCCCTCTTTGCTCTATGAGGTCTCAGTCCAGGGCCCTGTCAGTAGCAAATGTGTCTGAAATTGAGTCAGCAGGGGATCTGTCTGCAACAAGCTGTCATTAAGTCTGTGGCTAATCCCTCCAAGGTACTTCCTATCATGATACTACTGGTGGTGGTGTGTGCATCTTTGTGGTTTCTGGGTTTCTTGGCTAGTGCTACTCCCTGGGGCATCCACAGGTACCTGGATGGCTGCTTGAATCTTGGTGCCTTTGGTTTCCATGGTCCAGGGCTCCATCTGCACTCAGGCAGGAGCTGCCAAGGAGCATCTTTTTCCTGCAAGGGCTAGCACAGACTGTGCCGTGCTGCTCCCTCTTAACATGGTGCTTCACTTGGAACATGGCCAGTTGGAATATGGGGACATGGCTTACTCCACGCACAGTGAGGAATCAACCTTTCCTCATCCATAGCAAGATGAATTCACTCCATCACAGGGTTATAGGCTCCTGCCACAGATCCTACTTGTCTAATATTTTGCTGTAAAAGAGGATTAGTCCTACTTCTTAAAAAATAATGTACTGTTTATCTATGGAGCCTCTTGTGTATTGTTTAGACTTGCAAGTACATGAAAATTCTTGCTCTTATGAACTGGGACACATTTAATTTCTTACTGAATGGGAACATGCAAATAACTGATATGTAGGTTCAGATTTACAACTTTCATAGAAACTATGCCCCTTTCTCTTGATGCCGGCCTGCGCTAACACACTTTTGGGAAAACAAGTGTATTGCAGCATAACTACCATTATGAGTGGAAGCTACACGAAGCCCCTCAAAGCAATGAAATATTGCTCTTGATCTCACTTCAGAATCAAGACCTGAAAAATCCCTATTTAAAAAAAAGTTTATTTCACATAAAAAGATACCTATGCAATTCTGTGTTTGTTTCATTAGACATGTATTGATCCCTGTGCAATGAAAATTAGAATAGACTACTACAGGATATGAGTGTAGTTTTATTATATCTGTGTCTGTTTACATTTTTCTTCCCAGTTGGAAACTTATTTCTTCAAATTGTGTTTACAGCATATTATCTCTTAGTTTCAAAACTCTAAGTCTTAATTATTGTAACCTTTGTCATCGGTAGGGTTTCATGAGTGTAAATGAGATCACAATTTGATACTGTGTGTTGAATGTGTGTCTGTTTTATCCTTAGGTTCCTCCCTCCCACTTTCTTTTCATTTATCAGAATAAGTTGAACCTTTTTTTCCCCATAGGCAAATATTTCCAAATGGGCTTCCTGAAGAATATTCTTTAATAGCCACATTCCGTGTAAGACGCAGCACCAGAAAGGAGCGGTGGCATATATGGCAAATTTTAAATCAGTATGACATCCCACAGGTAAGAATATATTTTATTTTTCACTTAGTTTTCTTTTTTTGTTGGAAGAGGCTATATAGCTTAGTGGATCTTTCACCTATGGAATCAGATCTAATTTATAAAAGACAAATTTGCTGTTCTGAAATAGCTTGATAGTTACTTATTCAAATCTTAGAAATACAGAAGTTTAGTAAAATGTCTCCAGTAATATTAGAATGAAAGGTGTGTTGAAATGTAGGATGGATGGGCACTGAAAAAGTTCCATGAGAGAATCTTTCATGATTCCTGCCTAATCTATTCTTTTAGGCTATTTACTTATTTTTCATCCTAGTTTATGTTCAGTCTTATTTGCTTGTAATTCTGACTTATTCTAAATTATGTTTCCCCCCACAGGTGTCTGTCATAGTTGATGGTTCAAAAAAAGTTGTGGAATATATAGCAAAATCTACTCAGGGAAATGTGCTATACCACACCTTTAAAAATCGTGAAATTTATCCTCTCTTCGATCGGCAGTGGCATAAGCTTGCCATTAGTATACAGTCAAGGATTGTTACCCTCTATGTGGATTGCAATGTGATCGAGAGATGGCAGACTGTTGAAAAGGACTCCATTGAGTTTCAAGGAAGAACTTTCATTGCTGCTCGAGCTGCAGATTACAAGCCTGTAGATGTGAGTTGTACCAGTGAGATGACACTTAAAGAAAATGGGATAATATGGAAGTCATATTTTAAAAATACTTGTAATAGCACAACAAAGAAATATATGAAAAAACCCAGCATGCAAAAAAAAAAAAAAGAATACCCATTGGGTGGACTAGTAAAACTCTGTTATTCTAAGTGAGCGGTATTGTCTGAATAAGGACTACAGAATCAGGTCCCCGTTTTCAGTATTAGCTACATTTCTGTATCCATTTACAAATGAAAATTATTTTGGCTTATTGTTGTTATACCATTTAGGACTCAGTTTATAATAATTGTTTTGTGCTTAGTTTTTAACTTTTTTATTATTTAAAATGTCATTGAAAAGGAAAGAATGTATGACATTTTTAGTCACTCCAATTATTTCCTTGGGATCCATTAAATCCTTCTCCACCCAAGCATGGAATTTGTATGAGTCTGAAAACAGTATAATTCATGCAGTACAGTCAGGGAAACTTCATAAGATAATACTTATTATCTTTAAATAAAATGGTGTAGTAGGTGCTCTGCAAAAGTGTCAGGGCAACTAAATTTTCCTATCTAATGACAAAGGGGCCTTTTTCTGCTGTTTGAGTCAACAGAGGAACCCTTACATTTTATAATCTGTATTCTAATCCAGAGATTTCCGCTTACATTTTCTTGTGCAAAAACTCGAGGAATTTATTTGCAGTTATGAGAAATGTTAGCTTCAATATTGAGTACACATCTGCGTAGCAGGTTTTAAGCCTTCTGTATGAGGTTTAGACTGACGGCATGAAAGTACTGCTTTCTACACTACACTATCTATATTGTCACATTATTATTGCTAAGTGTTTTAATTTATTTTATATTATTAACATAACTCAGCATTATTGCAGAGCTTGATCCTGCAGGGTGATGTATAGTTTGGTCCTGATCTGGAAACACGTTTAAGCATGCTTCAGTGAAACTACTCATACACTTGAAGTTAAGCAAGATTTTAAATTTGTTATTGGATGGTAAGTACATAAGAATGGCCATACTGGGACAGACAAATGGTCCATCTAGCAGTGGCTGTTGCCAAATGCATTAGAGTGAATGAACAAAACAGAAGATTATCAAGTGATGCACTCTGTTTCATCAAGTCCTGGCCTCTGGCAATCAGAGGTTTAGGGACATTTGGAATCATGGTCTTGCTTCTCTGACTGTCTTGGTTTATAGCTCTTGATGGTCCTGTCCTTCCTGAACTGAACTCATTATTTTCTTAACCAAGTTATACTTGGGGCCTTCACAGCATTCCCTAGTAATTAGTTCTATAGGTTGACTAAGCAATGTGAGGCTGTATCTAGACTGAAGGCTTCTTTCGGAAGAAGCTTTTTTGGAAGAGATCTTTTGAAAAAACTTCTTTCGAAAGAGAGCGTCCACACAGCAAAAGCACATTGAAAAAGTGATCTGCTTTTTCTAAAGATAGCATCCACATTGATTGGACACTATTTCACATTTAAGTTGTGATTACTATGGACAGAGTGGCCATCAGGGCACCTGTGCTTTTTCCTGAAGGCCTCTTCTTTAAAAAAAACCAACCAAACAAACCTCGTCCCCGTCCACACGTGCCTTTTTCTGAAAGACAACTTTTGGAAAAAGGCTTCTTCCTTGTAGAAAGAGGTCTACTGCTGTTGGAAAAACCCCTGTGTTCTTTCGACTTTCTGTCAAAAGAATGTAATTGCAGTATGTACACAAATGTAGTTTTTCTGGAAAAACTCTACAGTGTAGACATACTGAGATGTGCTTTCTTTTGTTTCTTTAAACCTCCTGCCTATTAATTTGATTGGGTGCTGGTTGGGTAGTGTATGAAGGGGTAAACAATACTTTCTTATTCACTTTCTCCACGTATTTCATGATTTTATATGCTTCTCTACCATATCCCCACTCAGTCATGTCTTTTCTAGCTGAACAGTCAAGGCTTTTTAACGTCTCTTCTCCCTTTTTAGAAGCTGTTCCATCCCCCTAAAATTGTTTGTTGCCCTTCTATGTTCCTTTTTCAATTTTAATATATATTTTTAGATGCCGTGATGAAAAGTGCAAATAATTCAGAATGCAGAAAAGTGCAAAAATAATTCAATAATAATTCAATAATTAAATATCATGGACTTATATAATATAATTATGGTATTTTATGATCTATTCCTTTCCTAATATTCCCCAATGTTATGTTAGCATTTTGACTGATGCTGAACACTGAACAGATGTTTTCAGAGAACTATCCACAAGATTTTTTCTTGAACAGTAACAGTTATTTGAGGCACCATCATTTTCTATGTATGGTTGACATTATGTTTTACTACTTTGCATTTTTCAATACTAAATTTCATCTACCATTGTATTGCCAAGTCACCCCATATTATAAGATCCCTTTATGATTCTTTGCTGTCAGCTTTAAACTTAACTATTTTGAGTAATTTTGTATTGTCTGCAAAGTGTACCTCTGAAGTGTTTGCCTCCTGATTGTTTACCCCCTGTTTCTGTTCATTTCTGAATATTTTGAATAGCACTTGTCCCACATCAAATTCCTTGCTGCGGGATCCACTATTTATCTTTCTCCAATGACTACTTACAAAATAAGCTTTGTTTTCTAACCAATAAATTAGTTATTGATCCATGAAAAGACTTTCCCTCTGATCCCGTGACTGCTTAGTTTGCTTAAGAGTTGTTCATGTGGGACCTTGTCAAAGGCTCCCTAAAAGTCTAAAGTGCACTATATCGATTGGATCACTTTTGGACACATGCTTTTTAACATCTTCATAAAATTTGAATAGATTGATGAGGCATGCATTCTCAACTAAAGCATGTTGACTCTTCATAAACATCATGTTCATCTACATGTCTAATATTTCTGTTTGTTCCTATCATTTCAACCAGTTTGCCTGGTTATGAAGTTAGGTGTACTGGCCTGTAATTGTCAGGATTGCTTTGGGAGTCTTTTTTGAGAAATTGGTGTTACATTAGCTATCTGTCAGTCATCTGCTGCAGAAACTAATTAGAATGATAGATTACAAACCACAGTTCTGCAGTTTCATATTTGGATTCTTTCTCAACTTTTGGATTAATATCATGTCTGGCTCTAGAGACTTATTACTGTTTAATTTATCAGTTAGTTCCAAAATCTCCTTTAATGATACCTCAATCTGGAACAGTTCCTTGCATTTGTCACCAAAATGAATGGCTCAGCTGTGGAAATCACACATCCTCTGCAATGAAGACTGAGGCAAAGAATTCATGTAGGTTCTCCATTGTGGCCTTATCTTCTTTGGGTACTCTTAGGCTTTGGTCATCGAGAACCCTGTTGACTGTTTGGCAGGCTTCCTGCTTTTGATGTTCTTACACAAAAAATAAACAGCAACTTTTTTTTTTCTTTTACTAGTTGTTCTTCAAATTCTTTTTTGGTCTGCCTAATTATACTTTTCTTTTTTTTCCTGCTTACTTTATTTGGGATATATTTTTAGTTTTATTCTGTATTGTGGTGGGTTTAGTTTCCATACAGCTTACAAAACTGAAATGTCTGTGGTCACTACTTTTAATTTCCTTTTAACTAGCTTCCTCATTATTTTGAAGTTCTCCTTTTTGAAGTTAAATGGTACTGTGTTGTGTTTCTTTGGATTTTTTTCTCCTACAAGAAAGATGTATTTAATTCCATTATGGTCACCATTACTGAAGTGTTCAGCTACATTCCCCTCTTGGACCACATCCTGTGCTCCACTTAAGACTGAATGAAAGATTCCCTCTGTCTTTCTGGGTTCCAGGACCAGCTGCTTCAAGAAACCCTATATGGTGTCCAGAAATTTTCTCTCTGCCTCGTGTCCTGTGATAACATGTACCTAGTCAACAAGGGGATAGTTGAAGTCCCCCATGATTATTGGGTTTCTGGTTTTAGTAATCTCCCTCAGAATTTCAAAATCGCTATCATCATCCTTTTCAGGAGGTTGGTACTGTAGTCCTACTTCTGTACCCTTATTATTCAAGCCTGGAATTTCTCTCCCAACAGATTCTTTGATCAAGGTCAGAGTACTCAGCACATTACAGGTTGAAACCCATATTTACTGAAAATGTATAATGCCTCCCACCACCTCAGAAACTGCCCTTAAACCCAAAATACAGCCCCAGCCATTAACACAAAATAAAAGACCAAATTTTCAGTTTAATTCTCTAGCAAG